TTTGGAATTCTCTGTTGGAATAGAGACAAGACGGTGGGTTACTGATCATTTAGCCATTGGAGAGGGCATTGAGTAGATGCTGCACTCAGCTGTGATTGGCAGTCCTGTGGGGCAGTCCCGTATAGAGTGGCCCAGGGGGCTTCCATGGCTGCCACCTTGGCAGAAACATGTCACCAGGCCTTTCTCCCTTGGTGCTCTTGGGTGGGTTCAAACCACCAATCTTTCAGTTTGTAGCCAAGGGCTTCACTGTTGTACCGCCAGGGGTTCTCTGAGAACAAAGCCTTGATCTCGTCAGTGGGCGAAGCTTGGTGAGAGAGTGCAAGCTTCCAAAAAAGACCAAGCTCCCTGCTTTCGAGTTGATTCCGACTCATAGCCACCCTATAGGACAGGATAGAACTGTCTGTGTGTTCCTGAGACTGTAACTACCTGAGGTTTACAGAAGTAGAAAGCCCCATCTTTCTCCCAAGGAGCTGCAGGTTTAGGTGCCTTTGATCTGCTGGACTTCTTAAGAAAACCAGAGGCCACCCAGTTATTTCTTTCCCCGGGCAGCCAAGGTGTCAGGATAGGGCTGAGCTACATGGAATTGGCTTGGTTTTAAAGAGATAATTAACATACCAAAGCAAACCTCCTGCCATCCCATGGAGTCTGACTCCCTGCCACGCCATAGGACAGAGCCCAACTGCCCCATAGGCTTCCTGATGCTGTAGGGCATGACAGAAGCGCGTGGCCTCAGCTTTCACCCATGGAGCAGCTGATGGGTTTAAACTGCCGACTTTTCCATTAGCAGCCCCATGCTGGGCTCCTTGTATATAACAGTTAAAATTTGCCACATCTAGAGTTTTCTCCACGATTGGGTCTCAACGTGGACGGCTAGCCATCACCACTACCTATCCCCTGTGCGTACCTGAGACTGGACCTCATTACCGGACGGAGTACATCGCCTCATCTTTCTCCTGCAGATGTCTCTGCTAGCAGCCCAATATGGCACCCACCGTGCCGCCAGGGCTCCCTCCGTCTCAAGAAGAACACTCTAGTCTTTATTTCCATGCCCCTCCGGTCTGGGGATGAATGACATGAGTCTGTCCCATCCGTTTGCCAGACAGTGTCCAGTCTTTCTCACAAGGCACCTGGGTGGGTTTAAACTTCTAACCTTTTGTTTAGCACCCAACTGTTTGCCACCAAACCAACAACAAAGCTGTTACATTGAGAGGATCATAGGGAACCTGTAGGGGAGAGTCGAACTGCCCCTGTGGGTTTGCAGGGCTCTAAATATTTATATAATTTCTGAGACTCTCCAGAGAAACTGGCTTATGTGAAGAAGAGTGTGGCATCAGGATTGGAGGAAGGCTTGTTAACAACCTGGGATATGCAGATGACACAACCTTGCATGCTGAAAGTGAGGAGGACTTGAAGTGCTTTCTAATGAAGATCAAAGAGTGCAGCCTTCAGTGTGGATTAAAACTCAACGTAAAGAAGAGCAGAATGCTCACCACTGGGCCATTTGGGAACCTCATGACAAACAGAGCAATGATTGAAGTTGCCAAGGGTTTTCTTACTTGGATCCACAATCAATGCTTGTAGTAGCAGTAGTCAAGAGATCAAAAACAAGTGTTGCATTGGGTATATCTGCTGCATGAGACCACTTTAGAGTACTGAAGAGTCTGATCCAAGCCATGATATTCTACATTGCCTCATATACATGTGGAAGTTGGACATTGAATAAGAAAAACCGTAGAAGCATGTATTTGAATTGTGGTGCTGACTGATCCTGCCTTGGAAGAAATAAGGCCAGAGTGCTCTTTAGAGGCAAGGATGGCAAGACTTCTTACAGACTTTGGACATGTTGCCAGGAGAGACCAGTCCCTAGAGAAAGACATCGTGTTTGGTAAAAAGAGGAAGGCCCTGGACGAGATGGCATCAATGGGCTGTATCAATGGGCTCAGGCATAGGAACAACTGTGCAGATGGCACAGAACCGGGCAGTGTTTCCCTCCATTGTGCATAGGGCCACTATGGATCGGAGCTGACTTGATGGCACCTAACAAACAACAGATACTTATAGGAGCTGACTGCCACCCCTTTCTTGGTCAGAGTAGCTGGTGGATTCAAGCCACAGGACTTTCGCTTAGCAACAGAGTGCTTTAAGCACCCCTACCGCCACCCCAGACTCCTGAACATCTAGGCATGTGAGTCCCCAAAGGTTGCAGGAGAACACACGGCCAAGAAGGGTGGGTTGGAAAGCAGGATTTTTAACCAAGAAAATAGGGAGAATTATTTTAGAGGCATTCTGTATAATGCGATCATATTCATTCGTCCCCACAAGGGCCAGGCATTTTGCTAGATGCTGGGAATAAAAAAATAAAAGGATGAGTAAGATTGGGCTATGCCCTAGGGGAATTCTCTGTAGTGAAGAAGACCAATCTGTAAATAAAAAATTGCTCCCCAGAAAAACAAAGATTCTACAAGGGACACTAAAACTGTGGTGGGAGCTGAAAGAGGGAGTCACTCCCTCCTGGGACTTGGTGGTGCAGTGGTTAAACAGTTCACTGTTAACCTAAAGATAACTGTTCAAACCCACCCCCTGCTCTGCTGGAGAAAGACGAGGCTGTGTGCTACCAGGGAGATTGGGAAAGCTACAGGAGCAGTTCGAGGTGTCCTATAGACTTACTATGAGTCTTCTGTTCATTCCTCTTTTGGGGTGGTGGGGTGAAAGGGACCAGAAAGAGAGGGGGAGTCTTTGTAAACTGGGTAAATAGGGGGAAGAAGTCATTCCACTACATGGAGCCAGAGGACAGTTCCAACTTTCTACCACATTTGACATGGAAATTAGTTACTTTCAGGTGGTTTCATCTGCTGGGAGCCCTGGTGATAGACAAGATCAGCAGTTCAAAAGCACCACCCCTTCCCAGGAGAGAGATGAGGTTTCCAGTCTCGGCAATCCACAGGGATAATTCTACCCTCTCCTATAGGGTCACTGTGAGTCATCACTGACTTGATGGCAGTGAGTTGGGATTTACCCTGGGACCTAATAGATTGTACCCACTGACAGCCTACGACAAAAAGCCCGTTGAGAAATCATTTCAGAAGCCACTGGTTGGGTTACCACCCTTCCCCTCTCCCCCAAAGGATCTGGTCGGGCAGGTCTCTATATCCTAAGGAGCCCTGGAGGTGCTGTGGAGAAAGCTTTGGGCTGCTAACCATGAGCTCAATGGTTCAAACCCACCGGCTGCTCCTGGACAAGAAGCTAAAGCTCTCTGATCTCAGAAGGGTTTAGAGCGGCGGTTCTCAACCTCTGGGTTGCGACCCCTTTGGGGGTCGAACGACCCTTTCACACAGTCGCCTGATTCATAACAGTAGGAAAATGACAGTTATGAAGTAGCAGCAAAAGTAATTTGATGGTTGGGGGTCGCCCTAACATGAGGAACTGTATGAAAGGGTCCCGGCATTAGGAAGGTTGGGAGCCACTGCCTTAGAACATTAGAAAGACCCTGGGAAGCTCTACCCTGTCCTGTAGGATTACTGTCTCGCTGTCAGTTGGAATCAATTCTGTGACAGTGAATTTGGATTTGGGGTTTGGGTCTCCTCATACAGCACCCCCACCCTTTATTCGGCCCAGCACCACATACTCTGGAAGTTTCTGAACTACTTGGGTTGAGTGGGTGGTGGGGGAGGACTCTCCAAGACTAGTGGGTATGAGTGTCCCTGGGGGTGGGCTTCTGGGGTAGCTGTCCTTTAAGGAGAGATGTTTCTTCCGTTTCGATGGTGTCAAGGAAATCCAACCACCATTGGAGGCGTTTGGCACTCCCTGCCAGGGACGGCAACAGAAACCCCAGGTAGTTGTTCCTACCTACGGTCGTGGACCGAGCACTTCTCCCAAGTCCCTCTCGTGCCTCCCAGGGTCTTTGAGGGCGAGCTTGGCAGCTCCATGGGTGAAGAATGGGGGCCCCACGGATGTCTGCTGTGGCTCCCCGTCAGGGGACTGAGTGGTGCTTCCCAGTCTCCCATCGATTGAAGCGCCACCTCAGGAGCCCAGCAGCCTGCTCCTCCTCGCTGTAAAAGTCCATCTTGCCTGGTGTCTTAGGCTTTACATCAGACCCAGAGAAGGAACTCTGAGTGCAGCCCGTCAGCTGGGAAGGCACAGGCTACCCCAACTGCAAGCCCAGCAGCTTTCAGGAAGAGCAGAGAGGCTAGAAGCCAGCACGCTCTCCCACTGAGTCCAGGTGGACACAGCTTAGACAACGGTAAAGCAGCCTTTCCTCCAGGCCTGCTTTGTTTCCGTCCTTCCTGCAAGGGACTGGGTCTGGAAGGCGAAAGATGGAGGAGAGAGAGCTTGCCTCTGAAGAGCCCTGGTGGTGGAGTGGGTCACTTGTTAGACTGCTAACCTCCAGGCCAGCCGTTCAAAACCCCGAGCTGCTCCCTGGGGGAAAGATGAGGCTTTCTAGTCCCTTCGAGACCTGCAGTCTCAAAAACTCACGGGGGACTAGGTCCTTTGCCCCGTGGTGTAGTGACTAGACGAGCTGCAATAGCCCTTGGTGGCAATGAGATGGGTGACATTGATCTATCTGTATACGCTTACCACTTATTGAGAGGCCAGGGCACGCCAATCGCTGGGGTGGGCATACCCCCCCCCCCGTGGAGGTAGGTATAAGTGTAACTCTTCTCACAATGGAGTTCCCGTGGGACCCAGAGAGCAGTGAGCAACCCAACAAAATCACACAGTGGTTGAGCCAGGTTGAGTGTTCTGTTTGGAATTTGCAGAACAGGTCTGAGACAGGCGGTGAGGTTGAGAGGGGCATGTAGTGAGCCATGCCAGGCGCGTGGTGGGCTATAGGGTGGGCTTCTTAGGCCAAGTCCCTCCCCTAGCTCTGGCGTGTGGCTCTGCGTGCGTTACTCAGCCTTTCTGGGTGATGCGTTCAGGTACTCTGGTGCAGCGTGGCTGCTCCCCAACCCGACTCTCTGTCTCTCTCTCCTTCTCTCTCTCTCTCTCCCTCTCTCTTGTAGGCACGGTGCTGTTGTGCCAGGCCAATCAGGAGGGATCCTCCGTGTACAGCGGCCCCAGTTCACTTGTATACACTTCTGCAAGTAAGCCATCGGCCCAGCTCTCTGTTTTGTGACATGAGTCCTGGTCCAGTCACCTTCCCTGCCATGTGATTCCCTCTCTGCCTCCACCCCACCCCCTCCCTCCATGACTCTTCCTGAGTAGAACCTGGTCCCCACCAGCATGTCACTGATCCCCGTGTTGCCATAGCATCCAAATCCCTCTGCTCATCGCCAGCCATGTCTGAACCCCCTCTTCCTGGGTACCTGGCCATGCACTTTCTACTCCTCTCTGGACAGGGTCCTGTGGATGGGAAGGGAGCTTGGGGGAGGGGTGGGGGTGGGGGCTGGAAGGAAGCTCTACCTAGTCCCCTGACTGCCTTTCATCACAGAGCAACAGACTTGTGTGAAAGCCGTCACAAACACACCTGAAATTCTGTGCCAAGGGCCCCTGGTGACTCTGTGAGTGCTCACCAAAAGGGCAGAAGTTCGAGTCCACCATTGGCTCCGAGAGAGAAGGGTGTGGTGTTCTGTTTCTCTAAGAATCAGCAGCCTTGGTTCGAACCCCCATGGGGCAGTTTGACCATGTCCTACAGGGCCACTGTGAGTCCGTGGCAGCAGTGGGTTCGGTGTGGGGGGTTTGTATCTGGTGGCTTGTTTGCAAGGCCAATCTATTAGGTGGAGATAGGGAGAGAGAAACGAGGTGTCTCCCGCAAACCCCACTTAACTGGGCAGGAAAAATAGCCAACAGGTCCTTGTAGAAAGTCTTGAGCACACTTTGAGTACAGGTAAACAGAGCCCTCAGGTGCTGGGGGAAAGGACCAGAAATAGGTATGAAGGGAGATCACAGCATTGACCCGAGGGAGCCAAGACCCTCATTTCCCAGAGAAAAGAGCCCTTGTATCGGACCCTCCCAAGTGATGAACCCCAGACGCACCTCATCCCTCATTGTGGGGGGAAAGGTGGCTCACAGTCACAGGAGGCTCCATTTTCGGGGAGGAAGAAATGATTGTGAGAAACTTCAGGGCACTTCAGGCTTCCGGAGTTGTATCAACATCACCAGCAGCACTGGCGTCTGTTGAATACAAGGTGCTTGTCTATGTTCAGAGGAAACAGACAGCGAGTGATATTGACGACAAGTCGATGTTGCTGGGTGTAGAGCACAACGGGTCCAGCTGTGGTGATGCCACGTGCGAGCACGCGGGCACTCCTAGAACTAGCATGCCACCACGACCACCCTGTCCATCCGAGCCACAACCCTCTCCAGGTAGGTATCACGGCGCTCGCTGGAACAGCCAGGGGGGCAAAGACTGCCAAGCATTTGAGACTCTCAGCCGGGCCACACAGCCAGCGGGAGGTCCAGCTGTGCTTCCAAAGTGGGGAAGGCACGCAGCCTTCGGCTGCTCTTCTGGGCCCGCCCGACTCTAAAGCCTGTCCCTAGGGCCTCGCAGCCACTCTCCGTTCATCCCCGGGGATGTCATCTTCCAAGGGAGACTGAGCATCACCAGGCTCACGCCAGCACAAAGCCGCATGCTATTGTTTGGCTTTTCTGCCAACGGGTCCACGCTGGAGAACTCTCTGCAGTGGTCTGGTCAGAGATGCGTGCTAGAGGGACTCAGGAACTCAGTTTTAAAATGTAATCTTAAGGCACTTAATCAGTCACCTGGGATGAATGGCTACTGTAAGGATACCACGGCTCCCCATACGCATGTCCACTGCATGTGTATTTTTCGCTTTCTTCACAGGAAGCAGGAGCCCTGGTGGCATGCGAGTTACATGTTGGGCACCTAACCACAAGAGCAGCAGTTCAGAACTGCCAGTCATCATTCTGTGGGAGAAACACGAAGCTTTCTACTCCCATAAATAGTTACAGCCTCAGAAACTCGAAGGCGAGGCTGTACCCTGCCCTGTAGGACAACTATGAGTTGGAATCGACTCACTCACAGTGAGTTTGGTTTTATAGAAAGCAAACAACGCATGTCCAGTCTTGGAAGAAGCTAGTTTGAATCAGGGTAGTTATTACAAAGCACGGAGGGGGAGCGGGGATAGCATGCGAGGCATTTTGTCCATGGAAATAGTACCAAAATCCCTCTCCATAATTAAAGATTGAGAGCTTTGGAAACCCTGCTGGGCAGTTCTACTGTGCCCTACAGGTTCCGTACACACCAGAATGGCGACAGGTGGCTAACATGTTGAGTTGCTAACCTCTATGTCAGCAGTTAGAAACCACCAGCTTCTCTTCAGGAGAAAGATGGGGCTTCCTACTGCCAGAGTTGCAGTCTGAGAGCCCACAGGGGCAGCTCGACCCTGTCCTGTAGCTATGGCTGCCATGAGTGGGGATCTCCTGGCTGGTGGTGGGTTGGTTGGTCCGTCTATTTCTGCAGGGTTGGGGCTTACATCACATGTAGCTGATGGGAAAATGCACAAGTTGCTCGTTTTCCCCTGGCATGCTGGCTCTCGGGGACACGTGTGTGGAATTCACACTCTTGCCTGTGTGCCCTCCAGGCCTGCCCTGGGCTGCACATATGCCTGAGTAGGAGGGGTGGTTTTACTTTTTTTATTGATAGGATCTTTTACTGGCCTGGGCTGGTCAGACTGAAGCAGGCCGCCTTTCCTAGCTGAGCAGCCCCTCATCGTCAGTAAGAGTCTCTGCTGATGTGTCAGGGGAAGATGGCCTTTAAGGAACCCCGGTGAATTCTCCAGCAATGAAAACAATTCAGACGGAAGTGATCTGCTTTTAAAATGCCTTTCTGCCCCATGTGGGTGTCATTTGCTGTTATTGTTGTGTGGTTGTTTTCCCCTTGAGCGGATCACCCTCACAGTATGACCCTGGAGCAGAAAAGCATCCAGAGGAAGGTCTTCCCTCCAACCACACGCTGACACAGCCTCATCCAGTGGGGTTTTCCCCAGAACCAGCTTTTCCTACCCAGCCCCCGACTCTGCCTTTGCGCCAGTCAAACCCGGGTCCGTTTACACCACATGACGTCACACATGCCTTTCTGTCCGGGCGGGGCAAGGGTTGACCACAGTCAGCTGCCTCCCAAAGAGCCAGAGATGCCCCGGAGACACCTGGGGAGGAAGGAAGACCGAGCCACTGCAACCTCTGGGGAGCCCAGGGCCTCGCTGCTGATTCTCTGTCGCCGCAAGTGCTCAGAATCGGCTCCAAGGAGACGGTCGGTGTTTTGATAGACCACTCTCCTCCAGGAGAGAAGTGGTCCTGTTCTGGATCCAGTGTAAATGGAGTGACAGCACGTCTCTGGAGAAGCAGGCCCGGTTATCTGGTAACCAAGTGGGAAGCACTTAAAGGTTACTAAGCGTTCATTAATATGACCAAGAAGAGGCTTGGCGTCGCGGACAGGACAGCCCTTTCACAGAGAGGTTTGGCTCCCTAGAGCTGTCATCACAGACCAGGCCACTTTAAAAGGACAGAAATGCCTGGCTGTACAGTTCTGGTAATGGGGAGTCTGACATCAGGGTGCTGGCCACGCGGGCTCCTCCTGCGGCATCTAAGCAACCCCCGTGGCTCTCTGCCGGTGCTGGGAGCTCCGGGAGTCCTTGGCTCTCAGTGCAGTACCTCTGGAAGTCCTCCCTCAGGCTCCCTGCATGTCTGAGTCTGTCCCCCTTTCTTCTGCGGCGCCTCGGGGGTGCTTGGACACCCCATCTTCCAGTGAGCAGTCGAGCACTTACTGTATGCTGTGCCCCAGGGAGGGCAAGTTCATGTAAGCCTGAGCAAAGGCAGTTTTAACAAGTGAGTCGGCATTGACTCGGTGGCAGTGAGCTTGCTTTGTTTTTCCCGGTTCATAAATCAGAGATGGGCTGGACCCTGCGAGACCACTCTTGGCTGCCGGCCTGTGGTTGCCAGGTGCTGCTGGTGCCGACTCACAGCAACCCCACGGGACGCAGAACCACCATGGTGGGTTTTCTCAGTGCCCATCTTCTCAGGAACCCATAGCAGTTCTTCGCGGGGTTCAAACCGCCCACCCACCCTCTGGCAGCAGCCCTGTGAGCACTTAGCAGCTGTGCCTCAAGACTCCTGGCCAAGTCATGGTCACAGCCACGCGTGAGCTTGCTCTGCCCTTTTTACAGGGATAAACAAATCAGATTTTCAGGGGGAGGGACTAGAACAGGTGCACCAAACGCCCCCAGTTGCTTCAAGAGGAGAATCTGCGAAGCAGCAGCCACCCTGGGGTGGTGGGTGGGTGGGGTTGTAATGCCCCCTCTGCTCTGATTAGTCATCTCAGTGCAGAAGGGGGTCTTGTGTCTGCAGAAGGCCACCGATTGTAACATGTCCCGCGGTGTGCCCTGCAATGTCGTATTTGTCTTGATATTCCTCTCGCAGAAATACATGTGGCAGATAAGGAGCCACAGGAGGCTGCGTGTGCCTGGTGTCAGACAGATATTAAAACAATAAACTAGGCTGCCCTGGGATTGTGGTGCTCACCCGGAGAACCAGGCAGAGAAGGCAGGGAGGTCGCGGTGGCCGGGTAACTAACTCTCTGAAAACCCTAAGTCCTTTGATGGTGTCAAACAGATAGTTTCTGGTGGTGGTGGTGGTGTGTGTGTGTGGTTGTTTTTAATGGTCATGCTTATTTAAGGAGATGGCCAAGGGGCTGGTCTGACTGTCTCACTTCGCCCTTGACCGAGGCCCTGTGGATGCCTGAGGAGATCCTTCAAGAGTGTGGAGCAGCTTAGTTGGAGAAGTTGTTTTTTCCCACCTCTGTTCCTAAAGCCCTGTCGATGTAAAAGGAAATTCATGTAAGAAGCTCCTCTCTGTAAGTTCAGAGCACGGACTCGGGGACTTTCCGGCAGCTAACGATAAGAGGTTGAGGAGCCCTGGTGGTGTAAGGGGTAAGCAATGGGCTGCAATCCTAAAGCTCAGCAGTTCGAAACCACCAGCCACCCTGCAGGAGAAAGACAGGACTCTCCACTCCCATAAAGAGTCAGTCTCAGAAACACACAGGGGCAGTTCTACCCTGTCCTCTACAGTCACGATGAGTAAACTTGATGGTAGGAGGTTTTCGTTTGCTTGTTTCTTTCTTTCAAGA